TGGCTTCAAAACCCAAATCTAATTTCCTATTATATATAAGCAATAAACAAGTAAAATAACATGAAAAAACATCAAAATTTCCAATTATTTGATTTATACATGTAGGAAACACATAAACTAACAATTATCCTTGGCATAAAATTAAAAATATTATTAAATTTGACATCTAATACATAAGTTCATATGCCTTCCATAAATATTTGGGTCAGGGAGGGTCAGGTTTAACCTAGTACCTTACCTTACCCGTACCTGTACAGGTTCTAAAATCCCAGAAACCGCCCTCACCTCAAAATCTGTTTTTCAAGCAAAAAAAAAAGAAAAAAGAAAAGCCCACCTTGTTGGCCTGTCGGGGCAGGTAGGGATAGGTATCCACCAAGTAGGGTAGAAATTGCCATCCCTAAGCAACACAATTAAAATATCAAGAAAGTGGTCATAAATAGTGGGATATAGAGAAGGGCTTAGGGAATAAAAGGATAATGGAAAGAACCAAAACCAACTAAAGTCTGTGGCACCTCAACTTAAAACTCCAATTCAAGATATGGATCACACCAATCATTTAAAGGCATCACCCCTCTAGCATAGTTGATGAAGACACACCACCCAGATACACTGTGCTAAAGAAACTTTTTTTATCAATGAAAAAAACAATTTTTATTCACTGAATTGATTCTTTATTGAAAATGAACTGCCACGTATTGGCTAATTTTCCAACGAGAGAAGGAAACTAGCATTAAAACTCAACAACTACTGAACTACTTCATAGCCAATCTACCTGGAAGACAAAAATATATAACTTTCCATAGATTTCTTAGTGGTTATGTACTTTAATGCTGTAATTTTCCATGTCTTACTTGAACTTCAAGAAATTTACCCTCCAAGGTGAATTTCACTTCTTTGATCATGGTTTATAGGTTTTTCTATAATAAAGTAAAAGAAATTTTATCAAAATGAAAATTGACATAAGAGAAAGTTATCAAAAAAAAAAGCGACACAACAGAAATACATTCCATCCAGCTAGGAACTAACTCAACACCAACTTTTGTGTGAGCCATGGAACTAGGTCTGCACATTGAATATACATATGATATGGGTGACAGGTCCTTGATCTTGTTATAGGTATAGATATGAGCTTGGTTAGAGTTTGGATTTTAGTTTGGATTTTATGGGTTTAAGATTTGAAATTGGCCAGGGCATGGGATTGAAGTAGGGCTTGGATAACAGGACTATGAACCCATTTAAAGACCATAGCGATGGCCCATTTGGTGGCACATGTATGCTTGCACTGGGATCCTAGATCCCATCTCTACCAGATAAGTGGCATAGACACTTATCTAGATAATCCCAGAAACAGCCTAGGAGTATTCAAAATTTTTTTGAACAATTTCCTACTTTAGGGATACTTTGGTAAGTTTACATAATATCATTGGGGTTTAGTCTGATAGTTATGTACTTTGGAGTCTGGATCTTATTTTTAAGTTGTATTTGAAGTCTCAGATTCGTGTGATATGTGGAAAACAGATTCTGCTGTTCTCTGTGAGCTGAAGCTTGGCAGTGGCAATTCTGTAATTTCAGTAAACAGTAACCCCAGACCTATCATTTCTCTACAAATGTATCTTGTAAGATAGGAAGAGGTTTTTTTCTTTCAAAGTGGTGCAAGTCTTCCTTGTGCACTTCTTTATGTAAATATTTGTCATCTCTTTTTTTCTCTCTTTCTTCTGTACCCTCTTTCTTCTCTTCTAATTCTCTATTACTGATTTAATCAAGATCTTTTGATTAGCATCTCTTCTAGCTCTCAACAAAGCTTAATCTCACTCCTTGAGAACCTCCACACAACCTAAGCTTCTTCCTTCTGTTTTTTATTTCCTTAGTTTAACTTTTCTCAGTTCTTTCTTGGAGAATTTTCATCTTTGTTTCTATCATATCACTTCAAAAGTTCAAATCCCTACCAATTGTTGTTCATCCTCATTATTCTCCATTACAATACACCTTACAAAGTTTGAATGCCAAATTCCGAGCAAAACCCTAATTGTTGGAATTTTGAGGCAACTCATCCACAACCAACATTAATCATACAATCATATAGATGGATTACCATCTGCATCCATCCTAAAACTTACACTGATTATAATCTCATATTATTTAATTGTTATCTGAATCCATTCTACAACCAACATTATCATAATATCATCTTATTTGATTATCATCCAAATCCATGGGGCAACTCTTCTCCTGGTTTAACATTTTATTTCCACTTATCTATTGCAATTGAAAAGAAAAAATGATTATAGTTGCGACCTGTTGTACTAAAGCCAGGTGGCCAGGTTCCACCAGGAAGCCCTAGACCTAGCAGACCTCACAATCAACCAGGCATCTATCTTATATATGGGTAAGAGAAGGTGAATAAAAAGAAATAAATAGAACATTTCATAAAAAAATTTCAAACAATAATAAATAAATTCTTTAAAAACTGCAAAGAAATAAACAAGTTAGACAAATCAAATTAAGAACATCCTTGATGAACATGTAAAATTTTGTTGAAGATATTTAAAATCCTATATTTAAAGAAATCACATAAAAGATACATTATGTTGTATAATAATCAACAATAGCTGATACCTCTTTGATTAGGGTTAGCTTCAAATGCTAAATTTGAGAAAAATGCCAACAGATGGTGGCAGTCTACTTATATCCCCAATATTGAGTGCATGAAAGAAGCCACTACATTTTTTATTGAAGAAGCATCTTTAAAAAGAGAGATATTATTAAGAATTTTTAACCAAGTTGGCATTTCTGTATATATCTTTCCCCTCATTTAAATCAACTAGACATGCTGGGGCCATTACTTGGCATAATGTTAAAATCCCAGGTTGACAAGTGTGAGAACAGCCACTTTGTGCAAAAAAAAATGCCCAAGGTTAGGTCTGTATCCAGTCTACCTAAGACCCTTGGGACCAATAGTAGGTAATGTTGGGCCTCTTAACTAGAATTTAGTTGTTTCTTCTTTTGAAGTTCTAATAAAAGGATATATGTTGGATAGATTGCATGTAGTTAATACCTCTTGTATAACTAAATGGAATTTGTGTGAATGGTAAGCTGGTTTATTCTTTCTTTAGTAACTAAGTGGCAATAATGAGATAGCGTGGATCTACAAGAAGGTCTGCAATAAAAGGAAAGCTTTTTGGTAACTATTAAGTAGTAATTAATTATAGTAGTTACTTACAAATCTTGCAACTGGTAATATAAAACTTGGAGGAGATCATTAACCAAGAATTGCATGTGTCATGGCAGTATCTAAAACTTGAACTGACTGAATTTAAAACTAACAGAATTGAACAATATTAAATTAAGTCGATGCTATTTAAAACTAATTAATCCCTAGGAAGTTTCTTTCTTTAACTATGGGGAATGGATTAAGAACTTCTGAACTTTTTTGCTTTATCTGCACCAATTCTAAAAGCATTTTAACTTATTCCTAGACCTTTCACTAGATAAATAAGAAAACTAACCACAAATTCAAAAACATTGGGGCATCCACCCCTGATTGTGCTATAGTATTCCAAAATTTGACTTCTTCAATATTGATAAAAAAAATTAAAAAGAAAAAAATAGACTCCTTCAAACAACAACATGAAGAAATTGCACTTGCCATTCTTATTCTATCTAGTTATCCAAACATGAAGCTGCTGCACTTTTTCAAACCATTAACACTCACTGCAATTAATCTATAGGCATCATTGACCTCCCTTTAATAATCTATTTGTTTATTTATTACTTTTAAATGTGATAAACAAGATAATCAAAATTCATATTTTTGAAATACGGAGAACAACAAAAAAGGGTGAGCAGTGAGCACTAAATAAATCCCCTCAGCAGGATAGCATAACTCTGGAAAATCTGACTGCAAATTTTCATCCATATTTAATATGTTCATATGACTTGTGGCTTAATTAAAATAGATCTTGCAACTCAGGTAGAACAAACAGATCCATAGAAATAGACTAAGGCAAATCAGCTTTACAAACTTCTACCTAGAAAAAATGCCATGCATATTTACCGCAAACTAAGATGAAGCATAAAACCTTCAAAACATATCATTGGATGGCATTGATAACATGGATTTTTTATAAACATAAATAGATAAGGACATCAACTATTACAGTATTACAAGAAGACAGATTCAGCAGCACCAATGAATTCACATTAAGTAAATGATCATGTAAGATAACAATTGTAATTGAAAAACATCAAACAAAAGGCAGAACTCCATGGGTTAAAAAGAGATAAATAATAAAATCAAACATAAATAGACAGATATCACGAAACCAAGAGGAAATGGCCAATTCCTTAAGGTCAAAAAGCTGTACTAAAATCAAAACCTCAAACATTCGAATGCCATAAAAGCAAAGCATCCTAGAGAAAGCACAAAACAGTAAATTCGTGGAAAATTACTCCAACGATAAAAGGATTTAACTGAACTTCACATATGATTCTTACTACCACCATATCATCGCTTCAGTAACAGGTTTCAAATAAATTCGACTCAATTCACCAATTTGAACAAAAAAAAAATACTTCCACAGTTTCCACAACTTGCTACTTGCATAAAAAGCAAGATTTACAACAAATTCACCAGAACAAATCAAGCTCCACCATGCTCCAAAGCACAGAGAGAGATAAGGAGGGAAGACACGAACGAAAGGAAAGCATAAAGTAAAGATATAAGCTCATTTCAAAGCCGAATACAGAAATCAAGCAACTTCGAGCGTAACTACAAATTACTGTTCTACCACTCCATACTTCGAAGCTTCCAACGAGCTCTTAAAGAAAACCCTAACAACAACCACAAACAAAACGATGACAGCGACACCAAAAACCAAACCAGAAAAAACGAAAAGATCCAAATTTTCCAAGCTAAATGCATCCACAAGACGGAAGAATTAGAGCAGCAGCATACAAAACGAAATCAAAGCGAAAGGAAGAGAAAATTGGAGAAACGAAACCTTCTTCTTCCATCCTTCCGGTGCCGGGAGCTCAACCGAGACGACTTCCTCCTTGTTTTCTTGATCACCGACCTGATTCTCCTTCTCCGCCGCAGCAATTTCCTGCTTATCTTCAGAGCTCGCCATGCTCGTTTTCGAGTTCGCTCTCGCTCCAAAAGTTCCCGCTCTCCGCGCTCACGAAAAACCAAAATCCCAATATTTGACCAAAATTACAAATATGCATAATTTATTCCACTCAACTCTCTCTCCCTCTCTCTTTACTTTCTCTCTCCTCACTCTATCTATTTTCTCTCTCCTTAAATCGAGCGTGCGTGTCATTCATTAATTGAGAATCCAAAGTTGGATTTAGATGTATGGATGGCGTCCGGTAATAGCTGGCTTGAAATTGACGGTTTATGTCCTGCGATTCTTCGATTCAAACGAAGCGCGACGCTATCCATACGGATGAATTGTGTCGTATTCAGTACGATTGCCTCGAATGCCGTGATTTCCTAGTGTGATCCACGATACACAGCCACGTGGCAATCAAGGGCGTGGTGTATTATTGTGAAGTAAAGTGAGACTTGTTGTGAGAGCATTCCCTCCTCGATGAGAACGGTTTGAATTGTGCACATGGACTAACGGTTTGGACTTCAACCGTTAACAGTTAACGGTTGGAACTTAGACGTTAAATACCGTGAATGATGTAATAAATAAGACACGTGACTGGTAAAACAGATTTGGAACGAAGGATACAAGGAAACTCCGCGGCCGGGCTTTTTGGTGAGTTCAGCTTCCCGTGGCTCGAGAATCTACTAAAACAAACGAAAAGTATCTGATTAAAACTTTCTCTAAATGTTTTTGAATCATGGGAAGTTTAAGGTTCAAAGTATTGATCCGTATCAGCCGGCATCCCGGTGTATTGGGATTCTGACTCGTTCAAGGGTGGAGGAGTCTTAAATCTGTCCCCCTGATTGGTTTTGAAAAAAAATAAAATAAAGTTAAAAGAAAATATTGATATCCAATATATCGATATTTAGAATCTTGCTCATTACATGACAATGTACTTGATATACCTTTGTTTATTAAATAAATATTTGTATTTGATTTGTCTTTAAAACTGAAAAAAAAAATTACTTGATAAATCGTTTTATGATAAATAAGTGCCATTAAATGTCAGATTAGCAAAATAATGAATAAATGCTTGATTGTGATTGTTGGGGGAGCCTTAAAATAAAACTTCCCCATTGGTATGAATCGGCTTATGACAAATAAGTGCAATTCAATATCGATGTGTATGAATCGGCATGATAAGATAAATGTTAATTTGGCATTGGCATGGTGTCGTTTATCAAATAAATAGAAATTATATCAAAGGGTTAGCTTTGGCTATTGATAGAGTTTCTGGGTTGGGCACGTTCAAGGCAATTGACCAATTCATGAGTATGCTTTGGTTTTTATTCAAAATAAATCAATGGACAATTACTAATTTGCCCACTCTCATGATAACGTGCCCAACCTAGAAGCTCCTTCAACAAGAAAGGTTGTTGGCTCCCAACAGCCAAAGTTTTTCCTTATATCAAAATACCATCAATATTTGGCATGTTTGCTTCCGTGACCATTTTTTGAGAAAAACGATGTCACATATGCACCGGCTGGGTGTGATCATTTATTTACAATTGAACCACTGTCTAGTTGGTTCGGGTGTCTATAAAAAATTGGTGAAAATGCATCTAGCCATTTGGGGAAGCTTCAAATTCTCGCTTCCCCAAACGGTCTTGCATTTCAAGTAGGGGTGCAACCTTTCTATGTTAGGATTGGAATTTTGTCAAAATTTCAATAGGTTCAACCCGAAATCCGAGCCCGAAACAGTATAAATTATTAACTCGGGCCAACCCAACTTGCACCCCTAATTTCAAGAAATGCCAATCTTATCTGATGTCGACGTGGCAGTTGAATTGGCTACAAGTAGGCCTGATCCGCCATTCGCACACTGCAGAGGAGAAAATAGCTGTCATCTTCTCTAGAGGAGCCATCCTGATAGAAAAAAGTTGTCGTCATTGACCGTCTTGTCGTTCGACGCCGGTAAGCCCGTCCATTCGTGCATTTTTTCTTAATTTTTTGGGGAAAAGGGTGGCAAAAATTCCAGGGTTTCGTAGGTTTAACCCTTGATTGGTTACCAAAGCAAAATCATTCTTTCTGATTTCCATTTGTCCAGGAAGGTGAACCTTGTATTTTTTTGAAAGGGAAGATAAGCCTTCTTTCTATCACTACGATGAGAGTGACAAAGGGATTTTAAATAAAACACTATAACGTTTTTTTTTAGTTTTTTAGTGGTAGAAGACAACTTTTCATGAAAAATGAAATATAGCTACTTTAAACTTTAATTCCATCATAAATAAGCCCAGCCGAGATCAATGTTTGGTTGTAAGTAAGCGCAACTGAGATCAGTTTCACCTCAATTGGACCGATCCACTTCAACATGTGGACTGACCACTTTTCAAATTCGTTTTAATTTGTCGCTCATTTGGTAGTCCAGTGGATGTGATAATGTTGATTTGCATACAAGCTATTGATAATAAGCTAATCAAGTCACACAAGCCGTTAGATTTGCATACAGAATACACCGTTGGATATCAATTTCACACTTTGAGGATCTATGCAAGTGATTTTTATCGTTAGATTTGATTTGCATACAATTTCTACTATTGGAGTGTTCAGAATGTGAGCAAAACCAACCAAATCAATCAAACCGAACCAACTCAACCCAATTTGGCTGGTTTTTTAAAATCACCGATCGGTTTCAGTTATTGCAAGGAACTAAATTGAACTGAACCAAACTGGACATGTAATTCACTAAAGTAGAGTGTTTCCATCATTGGCTATTGGCCTCTTGCTTCTTACTTTCTTAGTCCTAGTCATTTCCTATCCTAGTTAGCTTTAAGTTAATTAACATCAGTTAAATGGGGAATTGCTTTTGTCTTGGGAATATTATTTCCTTTTTTTAAGATTTCTTATCGTCTCCTTTTTACATTTTTTTTTGAGTTGAAAAGTTTACACCGAAAATGAAACATGGAAATGAGATATAGCGGGGAAGTTTGAGTCAATTTCAAAGTATGTTTATTTATTACCTTTTTGGGATGAGCAAGCCATGCAAGAAAGATCTGTAAGGCTTTAAACTTGCCAAACTTGAGGAGAAATTTTAAATTTTTGTTGTACACACTAAACACTACACAGCTTCTTGCTTTTGTCCATTGCCCATGCCCAAACCAACTGGCTAAATTGACCCAAACCGACCCTTCATGTTTGAATCGGTTTTACTTCAGTGTGAGTAAGGTTTCGATTTGGTGAATAAGCAACCCAACAAGGTCAGGTCGGTTGAAAAAAAAAGGTAAATTACAAAGACCCCCTGTACTAAGGGGTCTATGACAAAGACCCCCCTTGTACTTTGTTTTGCGACAAAGACCCAATTCCATTAGCTTTCCTTTGAAATCCACCAAATTATTCCCCCTTTCGAAGTTGTTGGTGAAACTGCTAGATGTCCGACTTATTGGTGTCATGGCCTAACGCAACTAATAAAGAAGGGAGAGGAGAGTGCAAGGGAGTCGAGGCTATTGGAGAAGAGGATTCTGCAGTGGTGTGACTTTGGGCTTATGGGTTATCTGTCGGAGACGAGCTCGATTTACTATTAATCTCGGTAATCTACGGATTTTGCTGTTGCTGTTGGGATGACGAAGGCAGGAGCTTCCATTGACCGGTAGCGTATCTGGGTCTCTTCGGATTCATAGTGAATGCTTCACACTGTTGTTGTTGTTCCAATTGAACAGAAGGAGGAGCAGAAATAAATGGAGTCCTCAATTGTTGGTGAAGATGGACGTTGTTGCTTCTTGATAGCCTCTCCTCTCCCTCCTTTGTCATCCATCGAATCTCAGAAAAACAAAGATAAAATAAAACATAAAAGGAAATGAGAAGAAACCCTAATGGTCCAAAAACAGCTCGAAACATTGTTCACCCAACATATCCTGATGATCAAAATTCAAAACAATGATGATCAGAATTCATCCAACACCTCTTGATGATCAAAATTCAAAACAATCAACCCATAATCGGATCATCCATTCATTCAACGCTCAGATGCACCATCGAAACATTCAATAAAGCATAAATGGAGAGGGGAAAGAGTGAGAGAATACCATTAATTCATCGACATCGATCTTGACAAACTCCATGTCGTCTGTGTATTTGGCAACGAACTTGTCGAGTGCTGTCTCCATGGATCAACAAGGCCCGCACCACGATGCCGTGAAATAGATCACCATCTTCAGTTGGGAGGAAAAAGAAAATATGGGATTATCCCTAATTGTCAGTTTTAATTCATATACATAAATAAATAGTTGGGAGAGAACCGTGTTTTACTTTTTTTTGTTTAGGTAATTTAATTACTAGCTTAGTGGAATTTTTGCAGGAGTCGATGTGAGCTTTCCATCGGGTCGTGGAATGGAAAGCGCGACGATGTGAGACACCTTAGATGGACCATTGCTGGCAAAGAACACATTTTGCACGTTAGATTGAGATGAACCCAATTTTTATGTCATCACTGCAGCTGCCGCCTTTCCCAATCCCAAACTCTAATCTCCAGGGAACCTCATATTCTCCCCGTACCTCCTCGAAATCCTGATATTTGAACAGTTTGGACAGAACCGAGAAAAGCAGGAAGAAGAAAAGGAAGGAGAGAAAGGGGAAGGGGAAGGGGAAAAAGAGAGATCAGGGGAGAGACAGAGGGAGACAGAGAGAAATGTGAAGGAATCTGAAGTAAAAGGGATTATCGCCGCTCTTGTTCATGTATCATGAGGTCGAGGGAGATGAACAATGTTTTTCTTCCGGTTGTTGTCTGAATAGTTATTGCAAGGGTAGTATAGGGATTCAAAAATATTGCAACGTCGGATTTCAACGGAAAGTAAAGGGGGTTTTTATCTCATGGTCATAGTACAGGGGGGTCTTTATAATTTACCTAAAAATATATTGAAACTGACCCAACCCGACCCATAAACACCCCTAATTGGATCTCAAATTCAGCCATTAAAGGCAAGCATGAGTAATTTAGACTGTTAGATCAGCTTAATGGCGCTCAAATATCAAGGAAATATACCACACTGAATTATTCATGTGATTGTTTCTTGAAAAGCCCCACCAAACAACCAAACTTCAAGAAACATTCATTATTGCTAACGTGGAAAGTAACT